ATATAATTATATATATATATATCACCCGTCAAGGTTAAAAACCTCATCCCTTGATCCCCTATTTCCTTAAGCCCGTGAACCCCTGAACCCTTGAACCCCAACGCCCTTGAGCCCCTTAGCAAGGCCCCGAATGCTTAAATCCGAAACCCTCTGCACCCCTAAATCCTTCAACCTTTGAACCGCTGAGGCCTTTAAAACCCGTAAACCCTTAAACCCTTCAAAGTCCTGAACCGCTAAGAAAACCCAGGAACCCTTAAACTCTTGAAACTCCTAAACCCTTAAGCCCTTAAAAACCTTAAGCCCTTAAGGCCTTAAAACCCTTAAGCTTGTAAAACCTTCAAAACCCTACATCCTTAAACAACGATTCAAAAACAGCTGAAGGCAGCAAAGCGGAAGGCAAGAAGCAAAAGCAGACAGAAGCCACACAGCAGAGCAAAAGCAGCAGAACACGAAAGCAGGAAGCAAGAAAGAACGGAACTAACGCGACAAACGAAAGGAAAAATAAGAAGCACAAGCAGTTCAAGACGAACAGCGGGAAGCGAAGTCCTCGATGAAGCCAGAAACAATAAGACTCCCCAAATACAACTGCTAGGACTGACAAAAACCTAAGCTTTAGACAAAAAAGACACAGAGTTCCCTGCCCCGTCCTCTACAGCCTTCGCAACCATGAACTGCCTGTGAGCTGCTATCAAAGCTTCAAGGATTGGGCGATCAAGGCGGAGATCAAGGGGAGGCATGCGTCTGTTCGGATTGTAAGGCGGACGACGATACTCCAGCCGGAAAGGTTTCCTCCGATGCTGCTCGTCTTCTTCGTCCTCACTCTCGGAGTCATCCAGCTGCTCACTCTTTGTCGGCCGGGCCTTTGCCGTGCCGAAGCTGGCCTGCTCGATCTCAGGCTCCGTCACATCCGAGTCGGAGCTTAGCTGTCGGCGAACCTTGCGAGTGATCTGCAGGCGTCGGCTTCTTGCAGACTGGATGGCCTGCATGCGACCAATCTCGGGATCGCGGGAATCAAACCGCAAGCGCTTGCGGTCATCGTCTGAGTCGTCTGTTTCTGCGAGACTCTTCATGGGACCAGACTTCTTCGAAGTCTCATCCCTAACTTTGGTCTCGCTGGAGTCTTGCCTGTCTCCTTCTCCTGCCTTGCTCCTCGCTTTCGGCTTGGGTAGTCGCATCACTTCGGGACCAAATGCGGCCATGGCTCGCATCGTCCGCTTTTGTCAGGGGTGGTCTTGAGCACAGTCGCTTACTCTCTTCTGCTTGCCGGTTTAGTTGTGGAGTAATATCGAACGAGCTTGAAAGCGAAGTAATGACCTACCGACAGGCTGTTCTGATCTCGGCCAACAGCCTGAGCCAAATCAGCACCCAAAGGGAACCCGAAAGCACCTTCAAACACAGCACAAGATCTACGACAAGGATGCTCAAGCCATTTGGGCTGCCTGATTCGGATCCCACTGCCAGCAGTTGTCCTTCCCAGGATCCACGTGTGGCCGTGTGGCTGCGGAATCTTTGCATCCCGGTGAAAGCTCCTGGTCGAAGGCTCCGATGTCTCCACGCTCCTTTCGACGAAAACAGGAAAGGAATGAAGTGCCATCTGCTTCGGGGACCAGGCAAGCCAGGCAAGCTCTAGCCTTGCAGAGTTGTCGTTCCGAATCTGACTGGGAAGTCGACAATCCGCGAAGTACAGACCAGGTGTCCAGGGGTTGTTAGGCTGCAGCTGAGGGTTCCAAGGTGCTGATGCGGAGTCTTTCAGGGTTTCAGATGCAAGTCTTCAGTTTCCTACGCGGTGCCCAGCCAAGTAATGCAAGCGATTTCCCTGCAACGGTCGCTTCTTCCGGGTCAGTGGACCAGGGGTTGCAATAAATTGAGCATCAAGGAGATAAGACACCGGTGGAACATGTTTGGAGTGCATGGGGGCAGACAGAGCCAAGCTGCCGCCGTTTGGTTAATTAGCAATGTTCCTCTACTGCACCCGACATCACGCCACCAAACCTCCCGCAAACTGATGTTCTTTCCAGGTTCCTCTAGGTCTCCGCCACCAACTTCGACTGAGCTGTGGATTTCCCAGCCATCCTGTTGCAGAGGGAATTGCCGAAGAAAAGTTGTCTAACTGCCTGCACGGACATCACGAAGCTTGAAGGCTTCAAGGAGCAAGGCTTCGTACCTCGCCAGGGTCAAACTGGATGTCGAAGGGGTTTATGACATCCTCGGTCCAAGCTATGGGCATACCGGCATACCCAGAGTCACCGCAAAACCACTTTGCTGCCAGCTTCTGCCGTTGAACCCAAGATGCCCAACCGAAGGCGGAGGCTGCCTGGCACAATCACAGCAACTCAGCAACGCAAGTTCTGTCCTGCCTCTGTTTCCTTACCACTCAGAAGAGCGTCAACGTGAAGGCATCACGATGTTCGTGCAAGGCCCATGTTCCGAACACCAGACCGCCTGCATCGGCGGGCATTGCTCCGGCCAGCCGGAGCCTTGTCTCCGCTCGACGTAGCTCCGTCGTGCTGGCACCTGGGAAGGCCAGCTGGCAGAGCAAAGGAGGACAGCTGAAGACACTCGTGGCAGCACACCTTCGCAGAGTCCTCGGACCAGAAGCCAGAAGCCAGAAGCATGCACTGAATACAAGTATAGTGCCACTCTACTGCCAAGTGCACTGCCAAGACCCTTGCTTCGAACCCAAACCGACTCGGCGTGACAGGACATTTCAACGACTATAGGGTAAGCCTAGTTTGCAACAAGCGGACTGCATTGCCGGGGCACCGGGTGTGGCAGCTCTGAGTGGAAACGGAAGTAGCGCAGCACGCTTGGAACGGGCGAGCTGGAAGCCGCAGTGCCGGCAGCACGGGTGGCAACTTTGGCCTTGCACCAGCAATCACGGGATCTCTGATCTGACAACTCGGGGCTTTCTAGGTGACGGTGGTGAGTCTATCAGGCTGAGGGGAAAGATGGGAGCGTGCAATCCCAAAGGGGCTCTGAGGCTCTGGCCACCCGCGCAACCACCAGCGACCCCAATGCCGAACCCGCCAGGTCTAGGCGGAAACCTCGCCGGCTTCGCGCCTGAAGGGCACGAGAAGCAGCATTGCCGCCACGATCGCACCATCACCAGTGTCCGAGTACCTGCTGCTGGCTCCTGCTACGAGTTTTCTACTACCTATTGCGGCATAGCAATAGCATCATCAGCGGCACCAGCGGCGGCGGCAATAGCAGCCGAAGTCTTGTACTGGGAGGAGCACGGTAGTGTCGCGGTCGCACCACCGAGCAGTAGCAGTAGCTGAGAGATGAGCAGCGGAAGGACAATATTCAGTGACGCTAAACTATTCACTGTGAAGACACAAGCAAAACTGATCATACCACAACGGTGGTCATCATCGTGAGATCAGTGTGGCAGTCGCCATAGTTATGATTTTGAGGGCCCCTGCCCGCATGAGTGCTCTGAAGGATCTCAAGCAATCGGGACTCCTCCTTCGGCTTCACCATCTTTGCACGACTGACAGGTGTCTGCGATGCCAGTGCACCTTCGGTGTGCGCATCACGAAAAGGAAAGGAGGCCGGAGGCAGACCGGGCTCTTGCATATTGCGACACACCGGAAAGTTTTGGCAGTAATGGTGTTGGCCATGGCGCATGCAACGATGATGACGATGATGATAATGATGATGAGGCCATGGCCATGTTGACAAGGGACGATGCTGTGAGTGATTCCTATGATGACGATGGTGGTGAACTGGATGCTCGGGATTCACATGGAGATGATACTAATGACAATCATGACGATGATGATGAGGATGAGGGTCAGGAAGACGACGATGATGATCATGATCATGATGATGATGGTGGTGGTGGTACATGGTGGTAATGACATGTGATGATGGAGACGATGATGATGATGATGATGACGATGATGATGGTGATGGTGATGGTGATGATGGTGATGATGATGATGACGACGGTGCTGCTGATGATGATGGTGATGATGATGGCGACGGTGATGAATTTGGTGATGGTGATGGCGATGGCGATGATGACGATGATAATGATGATGGCGATGAAGACGGTGACAGTGCGATGACGATGACGGAAGTGATTAGAATTAAGATCAAACATCAAGCCCAAATTACATCAAAAGAACATCTCTACCGAGACTAAACATGCTAACACAGCGGTTGGCCCGCTAATGTTCCTACTGCCCCTCCTCCTCCTCCTGCTGACGCATGAGAGATCGCATGACCCTCATCTGGGTGAGGTGTATTTGAAGTTTACATGCCCTCGCATAAGTCAACCGGTCACTAAGAGTCTGACGACCTGTACTGTCGATCGGCAAAAAAAGGAAATCCTAGCTCAAGCAGCGTTTGAACCGGACAACGACTGCTCTTGCTACGGCACTGGCATGGCTATTACGACTACTGCTACTGCCACTGCCACTGCCACTGCCACTGCTCTGCTGGCGCTGCTGCTACCAGTAGCAGTAACAGCAGCAGCAGCAGCAGTAGGATCAGGAGCCGGAGCCGGAGCAGGAGCAGGAACACTTGGAATAGCAGCGGCGGAGTAGTAGTCGTCGTCGTTATAGTAGTAGCAGTAGCGGCAGCAGTAGTAGCAGTAGCAGTAGCAGTAGCAGTAGCAGTAGCAGTAGCAGTAGCAGTAGCAGTAGCAGTAGCAGTAGCAATAGCAGTAGAAGTAGCAGTAGCAG